ATGATTACGGTGGGAAACTACGTGTTTCGGACGACGGTAACTCTATAGAGAATGGTCCGGAGTATTCTAAGCTGGTCTATGTTTCTCTCAAGAACTTGGTACCGGCTAGAGCCTTACAATCTCTCATCTATGACCACTATGAAAAAGGTACTAGAGTCTATCAGGATACCAACGGTGACTTTGTGACCATGCCTGCTAGTACTGATGGCACTGATCAGTCTAAAATCACCCTACGCCGAGCCAAACAGCTAGTTGCTGGTAAGTTTTCATCTAGCTCTAATGACCTCATTCGGGAAGATTGTCCACCACTTCCGCATAGTGAAGAACTCCCACTGTCTCCGAGGTCTAATGGTTCGGCCGGTTCTATCGATTGTCAGGATTCAGCAGCAGTCGAAGCCTCTAGTTCGGTGCAGCCACCAGAAGTTCTAGATAGTGGAGGGACCAGTTCAACACCTTCCAGAGCCGTAAGTTCTACTCACTGATGTTACATCATCCACACCAGGGGGACGTATAAATCCTACTCTGAGATTCGGTGTCTCTGTTCGTAGTGATGTTCATCTACGACAAGGTTGGTTGGTGATCTCTACGGCTCCTACCTATCAAGGGCTTGCTTCTGTTGTTGAAGACGCTAACGACTCTGACACGGTTGTCATACGTCCTCTTCGTCTTCAACCTGGTGGTGCTGGTGAGTTGTCTACCTTGGACGACGATGTCATTCACGAGGTTCAAAGGAACGAACTAATCTTCGTGACTTCCTCTTCAAGACCCCTTACACGATCATTACTTGAGAAGGTCACCAATCTGCTCACCCATATAGGGTCTAATTAATAGAGTCTATCCATGTCTACATGCTTATCGGTTTCACTCAGTTATAGTGATCATAACCATCTCGTCTATATATGTATCAGTCTTGTATGCGGTAGAGCATGTATTCACGACTCTATTTTCCAATTAAGATATGCACTATCACATTCATATTGTGATTTGAGCATTGTCTATTTCATCTAAGCGCGAGTCATGCGCTCTTTATGACACAATACCCGTCCATGGTATGCTTGTACATTTCGCTCGCCATTACGATCTATTTTTAGCTATTTGTCCACCACTCCGTTCATTGGATAAATAAGCTGTGATCCAAGATCCACAGTTGTCTAAGTCTCTTTTAGTCTCTATAGTTCTAGGTGTCAACTCTATCATGTCTACCCTACAGAAGGATCTATATTATCCCCTAGGGGATGCTGAGGATAAGGTTCTAACTGAAACTAGAGTTAAGGTCTGGGATAAGAATCCCAAAACTCTAGCTTTCAATGTTGATTCTCTACCCGACCTGAAGGTCTATTAGGCTGATGACAGTTTTCTAAGCGTAGGAAGTCTACTCTTCAGACGTCTATGTGCAGTTCAAGGAGGTCCTGGGTTGAGAGAACTATCGCTACATCATCTACCTTATCTACCTGTAATTTCACCTAAGATCTATAATGACTATGAGACGGCTCTATTTGAAGTGGAACTTATGGATAGTCTATCCGTCAATAAGGTCCTATGGTTATCTATCCCCTATCATCTAAGACAGTTCATCGGCAGTGGTTATCTAGATCCAACTCAAGTAGATCTATCTAAATATACTGATCTAGCCAACTACACTGACGTTGTCTACGAGCAGGAGGCTGACAATTCTATATCTACGATTGCCGAGTTTCTGCGCTTAACCGCTGTGGTTGGTCTACTCGGGTTCGTCTATCGTGACTTAGAATCTATTATGTCGGAGCCTCTACTCAAGAGGCATCCTATGTCTATAGCCACCATACGAGTTAGGCCTCTAGGGGATACCTTATTCTACTCCTGTCTACGCATGTCGGCTATGATCAAGAACAGTCTACTACCCTGTATATTCCATAAGATCGACGATAATCACTCTATATGTGATCTATTGGCATTGGACCCTAGTTCTAGAGATTATATGGCCCTAGGAAATCGCATTGGAGCAGCGATTCATGGTGTCATCACTTCCAATGCGTGGGCTCTAGACTTGGTTCGTATAAACGAGTCTAATCCCGACATTCTACATATTCTAGAAGTATCTACGGAGAAGTATTATGATGCCTAAGTATCTATGGGGATAAGTATCTATAGGGATAAGTAAGTATCTATGATAAGTAAGTATCTATGATGATTAAGTATCTATGATGATTAAGTATCTATGATGATTAAGTATCTATTTTATTTGATTTAGCATATTAGATTATGCTTTTAGATATTGCTATTCGAACAACCTTCTAGTCTATCTTGTTAGTTAATTAAGATATTCTAATGTGTTAAATGAATCTACTAGAAGTATTTAGTATTCATTTGCGGGGTATGTGCTGTCCCATCGTGGCAGCGCGACAAAGATCTCGCTCGCCTCGTATTCTATTGTTGAACTATAATATTATTATTCTCGCTCGGATGCATCTATCTAACGGTTTTGGATACTAGAAACGGTTAGATCCCGTCTCTGGTTTTCTGTAAGCTAGTAGCTAGTAAGCTAGGAAGTTAGTATTCTAGTTGGTAATTGTTAGACTGGACTGAGTCCAGTGACTGATTGTGTGATCTGCTACCTCATCCTAACTCTAGTTCTACTTGAGTTAACCAGTCCTCACTAGTATCGCATCGTAATCTCTATTGCCTCACCTGATCGTGTTACAAGCTACACGGGATGTTACTTAGATCTGGAATGAAATTGTCTAACCGTGATCGCTGTGCATTTCCTCATGATTCAACAGGTTTAACTCCCTCTACACCTCCGTCTAACGACGCGACTGAACCACCAAGAAGTACATCTACTTCAAGACCACTACTGATTTTTTCTAGTTCTACTCTAAGTCGTCCCGTACACGACTTGTCGTGGGCGAACGCTTAATTTAATGGCGCGCGGTAATATCGATCTCCTCTTCCACTCCCCTCTAGTTGAACTCTCGCAATGCCGTCTAACTCCACCCCCATGCAAGATTCCATCCCTTTTGATCGGAGGCTAGCCGAGGCCCGACGCATACTACAGAAGTGAGAAGGCAGAATCTTTGCGCACTCGGAAGATTTTCTCACCACCTCAGGTATCCCGACAGAGTACCTGTGATAGTGGAGAAGGCTGAGCGTTCAGACCTTCCTGAGATCGAGAAAAAGAAATTCCTTGTCCCGGGAACTATGCTGTGTGGGGAGTTCAAGTAAGCTACGAAAATTGGCTTCTTTCGTGCGACATGTGCGTACACTGTTAAATTGTCATTGATTGTGAAAACCACAGCTAAGGGGTAATAACCGGAACTCCATTGCACACGATAACTCCTGAATAGTCGACACATCTATCCATCTCTCTCTTTCCCCTTGTGCGACTGTTATCACGGACAAAGACCAGCAGCACCAGGAATGGTTGATATCTCTTCATAAGACATACAGTATGTTTTCGTGTCGTTCACGACACTTGCACCCTGCATACACTGTTGATGTTGGCACTGAATGCCTTGCGGCGGCATTACGCTACTTCTCATAAGCGGATCGTGGGACAACACAGTGTAAATCTGCATCGTCGAAACTGCCGTCCGAAATTGATTCTCCTCTCCGTGAATGTGATTTCTTCACCCACTAAATTGGTCTAGTGTGGGAATATATGCGCATGGTCAACTACATGTGGTGCTAGGAATACGGAAATTTTGAACAACTATCGTTGATTTTTGTATACCTATACCAAAAATCGTGTGATTTTTCATATTATGGTGAGGAAACCTACGAGCTCAGTTGAGGAAACCAGACATATATTCCCATACTGATTGGTCGCTTTAACCACCGATAAGATTTCTTAAAAATATAAAAACCTTCTTAGAATTTAAAAATTTCCCGTAAGTTGTTCAGTAAGTATTGTTTTAAAACTCAGTCCTCGACCTCAGTTCATCCAAGTCGATTGCCTTGATGATTTTTCAGGTATATAGTACACAAGCACATCACACAAGCTGTTGAGAATGGCAGTGAACGGGGAATTCAGGGAATCTCTGCTGAGCAAACCATCTATTTATTTGTTAAGAATAGAACGCCACGGACGGGTGAATCCGATCGATTTCAGAAGAGCCGCCGTGTTCGAAATAATGAAATTAGGTTCGATGATGTCGGAGTTGTACGATGCTCATAAGGATGAGGATGGCTTTCTCTATCTCACATATTCAGCTGAGAATACTTTAGGGGGCAGGGCTGTGTGAAGCAGCGGAGGAGTGGTATGACTACATTTACCCATAATGCTTTTAGGATGTTGTTTTACATTGCATGTTGTTGAAATTGCTGAAGTCTAGGTCTAAGACTGTGAAATAGTTGTCAGTTCTTAGTGGTATGGGAGGGAGCCTTGATATAATAAGGAATAATTGCTGTGATGGGGTGGGTGATGTTATATCCACCTGCCGACCCGGGTTCGATTCTTCGATGGGGCATCGACCTTTTATTGCTGGTTTATTTTTCAATGTTATTATCACCCATGCGGCGTCTAGATACTATTAATGTGAACGAATAATGGTTTGGTTGTAGTACACTAAATGGGAACTCAATATCAAACAAGCTCGTTACTTGGTTATGATTCCTTAACCATTCAGGAGATATATGCGAGGACCATCGCTGTAGTTTTATCACCACCGAACCATCGTAGTTGTCAGAAGCCCTTGTATCATGTACAGCAGCATGATAGAGCGAGACTATCCAAAGTCAATAACATTACTATACTGTAGTAATATATGCTAATTTCATTATAAAATTAACAGTGATGATGATAACAATAGGTAGCAATGTGCCCTATAGAGAGAATATCACTTCTTGTGTTGTCTGATCTCTTCAACTAAGCCATCTCGTATAGCGACTGTTTTCTGTGAAAAATTCAATCCTTTTTAGACGGATCGAATCTTGATTACAATTTAGTAGAAACACTTCATAATTTTCATTCGACGGTTTGGAAGTTTTGGCCTGCCTTGTTAACTTGATGGAGTTTCACGACTCGTTTCACGTGAACTGGTGTAAAACTCGGTGAAAAACACGATATTCACACTACGCAGTAGTCGTGAAATATCTTTTTCACTAGTGTTTTTCATATCACTAGGGTGGTGAAACTCCAATGAAATCGTGATGAATGTCATCACCCAATAGTTGTTCTGTTTTAACTATTTTTATGAGGATTCGACCCGGACTATATCGGAGCTCCATCAATACGGGCTTATTGCACAGAGCTGTCCCTGGAGTACACGTACTACTAACAATAACAGGAGGGTTTGCAACCCGCCGGCTCAGGGTTACTCAATTCGGACTTTCACATCGTGGTGGCAAAAATGGGTAGATGGTAGCAACCCTGAGGATTGGACCAGAAAGGCTACTGCTAACTTTCTTCGCTCTCAGAAAGTAGTGGGAATAGTGGTTTTCTTCTCTGCTGAGCTCTGTACTTGACCTCATAAGCTCTGTTGCTGCACTAGGTGTAGTTCGGAGTGGCCTAGCCGTACAGAGAATTTGTACGTCTTGTCAGATCGATCCGTATATACTAGAACAAGCAGATCTGGAGAACTGGAGACGATGGTAATAAGATGAGCTGGTTTTGGGGAGGTTCTGTGGACTTGTGGAACACAGCTCAACACAGAAGATGTCCGTATTATGTAGGAGTTTTGGAGGTATTAGCAGAAAAATCACAGCTTAGCTTAGTAGTGGGACAGCTGGATAATGGGAGAGCGCAAATGGGACAGCCAATTGTGTTGAATACTGCACTTGCTCGGTGATAGAATGGAGTTTCACCCTAGTGATATGAAAAAAGCACTAGTGAAAAACATATTTTATGACTACTGCATACGGAGGATATCGGGTTTTTCACAGAGTATCACGCCACTTCACGTAAAACGGGTCGTGAAACTCCAATAATTATAAACATATTATCTTTTCATGGTAATACAATGTTTGTTATCAAAATCAGTATTGGTAGTATATACTGCCCTTAGTCCATATATAAAATTAAGTTCTGTTACTTATTGGAGTTTCATATGAAGTAGCGTAATACTCTGTGAAAAACTCGATTTTCACATCACGGGTGAAACTCCAATATTATCAATAACGTTAAAGTCAGCGATTAGAAAGTTGATTCATCACCTCTCTATGTTGTGTCAAATTTTCGGTCGTCCACGTATGCGAGTAGTAGTTTTGTAGATCTTTTCAATCTCAAGTTCAACAAGCGAAAGAACAAATCAGATACATGAAATTTGATTTTCGACGAGTGAAAGGAGTTTTTCACGAAATGAAAGTTCAAATTCGAAATGAAAGTTCTAATTCGTAAATGAAATTTATGAATTCGGAAACGCAAGTTCAAATTTCGACCAATGAAAGGTGTAGAACGATCTTGAGCTTCCACATCTGGTTGTGAGAGAAATTATATAGTCGGTATACCGCATTGTTGACTATCACCGATGACCGTAACTATGTGTGAACTCTTTAAGTAGATGATTATGTTATTGTTGGTGTCGGTCAGGTTTATGACAGAGGTTCAATATTTCGCGGGTGATAGAGAGAAAGTCTCTTTGAAGGAACGTATAGAAAAAGCACGGGAGTTAGCTGCGACCAAGCATCAGGTGGAGTTGATAGTTGTTAACACAGTGGGTATTTTGTTGTATAGTAGGCCAAGTTGGACAAGCTCAGGAGACACTATCCACTTGGGGAATGAGGTCATGTGCACTTCGACAATGTTTCTGAGGAGGTTCTGGTTTGGGTTTTAAATGCCTCTGCTGGGAATCGAACCTGGGTCCTCGTCGATGACCCAGTTCGCATGTTTAACACGGTGTTGTGGTAGGTTCTCTGTTGACGGTAGCGGTAGAAAGCCGAAACTTTCATACTAGTGTACATTGACGATGTATGGAGAGTAGTGTTTCAAGGGGTATTCTAGTCGGTAGTTGAGGCATTCATACGGTCGTGTTCCGACTGGGTATGTCGTAGCCTACAGCATTGCGTCAATGGGACTTCTTTTAGAAAGTGATCAGGTTGGTATAGGGTAGTTGGTTCAGTATTTGGATCTATGTTTGTTTTTTTCAGCTGGTAATTTCTAATTATAGAAGTTCACATAAGAATTCAGGTAAAAATGTACAAAAACCAATGAGAATTTACCAAAATTACCTCAGAATTTTACATTGTCACCAACACATATAGTTGACCATGTGCATATCTCCCCCCACACTGTATGAACCTGCAGTCTTTTTCCATCATCATTTTTCACACGCGACGATATCGGCCTTATCGACACCAGTTCCTACTCTTCCAGCTGAGTCGAGATATGCGGAAGTTACGGTATCATCAGTTTTAGTGTTGCTTGCAGCGGTCATCGTTTCTACTGCCTGTTTTTACACACTATTTCGCATAGGGCGCGCTGCATGGCAAAGGGATATTCATATGGTAGTAGTGATAACTGTGTGGGAATATATGTTTGATTTTCTCAACTGAGCTAGGGGGTTTCCTCACGCCTCGGGGTGGAAGTATGCGAAAACCAACGACGGTTTTCTGCGAACTCCTCATAAGATGGGGTTGAACATGTGCATATTTTCGCTCCGCACTGAGTGGTGATGCTTCGGTGGTTTGTCGATTTAGGGAAATTCTGAGGGGACGTTAGTAGTCGCGAGTTGCGATTCTTGTGGAAGAGAGCAATACGTTCCTGGGCGGGGCTCAGCAGTAGTAGGCTTCACGTGTTTTGGATGCGGACGGCCGAATCCGTTACCATGGGTAGGCTATCATGGGGAAGGGCGCAGGTTCGATCCCTGCAGGTGGCATCTGAACCGGATGATCAGGGGAGACCTTTGATGGAATACGATTTCATTCGTGTGAATGATACATTCTATAGGGTTGACAATGAACATGAACACCGTGATGATTTAACCCGGGTAAAACCGTCCGTAAACACATGTCAATACCCCCCATGTCTGAGGTGATACCAATAACACCGATCGTGGTGGGTCGAAGGTCCAGTGTGGACACCCAAGCAGAGGAAGAAGAGGAAGTACCGGTCTGCACTATATGCATGGTAGACGTCAATCTAGTGGGCATTCAAGTTGATTGAGATAACACCCTTTGAAATGAGGTTTGAAAATCTGTTATATTTTTTTTGCATGTAGAAATGTGGACTGTGGGATTCGATCCTGCGGCCTATTTCGAGATGAGGGGGGGTGAATCACCGTGACAGAGTATATTTTGGTATATAGTACTTTACCGATTTCCGATTGTCTCCCTTCCTTTTTGCCTTTTCTCAAACAATTGGGAAACAGCGGGACGTGCAAGCCGTTACTGGGATTCGAACCTGGATCACAATGGTTTGTAAAGCGGCGCGCTTCCATTAGGCTATTACTTCTCTGTATATCTTACGTGTTTCAGGATGCTCCTGGTAACTCTGTCGTCCTCCCTTGTGCTCACGGTGGGATGTGTATCAGCTGTATCACCGCTATAAAACGGTCAGGTCGGTCCCTTCATACTATCCACTATGTATGTTGTTTTTTCATGCAAATGCATTAAATTTAATTTCTGGCTATATAATCTCTCAGCATGATGAATGTATTATTTATAATAAGTATACACTGGGAGTTTGGTTGGCCGCATCGAGCTTCCGGTAGATGATTTAGCATAGTACTTGTATGCTATGCTTCAGACCATCCGTATTGCCCACAGTGTCGAGCACCGATCCAGAGGGCTGTTCGCCTCGACGAAATCAACAACAGAGTTGCCAAGTAAAATGAGGGGATGTTCTAATTTGGTTGGTAAGACTCAAAATATGTCGATATTTGTAATATCTTCAGTAGTATTGGACTATATATGTTCGCTTTCTTCAGCTGAGCTCAGGAGTTCCCTTCACTAACTATAGTAGAAGTTTACATATAAACTCGGGTGAAAATGTGGAGGAATCAATGAGAAAATTTTCCCGAAGTTTTCTCAGAATTTCCGTTTCCTCACTAATTATAGTAGCCGTTTACATACAAATTCGGGAAAAATGTACAGAAATTAATGAGAATTTTTCCCAAGTTTTCTCAGAATTTTCGTTTTGTCACCAACATATATAATTGAACATATGCATATTCTCCCACTCTGCTCTTCAGAGGCATCGAAATACAACTACCTCCGGGGCGAGCGCGATAGCTCCACCTCATGGCATCATGTATAAGTTGTCTCTTATGCTTGAATGTTGAGTTAACTCTGTGGGGTCGTTAAGAAATTCCATGCAGAAAAAAGTGGAAAAAATCGTGGATTTTTTTGGCGATTTTAGAAGGATTCTGTGGCGAAGGAAATGGGAGGGTTTCTCAGCGACTTGCGACAATTTCGATTCTTCGATCGTTAAAATACGGTGTATGGTACAGGGGGATCGAATGAACTATATAATTAGCCATTTCGAGTGAGGAGTGTTTGTCTGTTTTTTATACATATATCAGGTCTGCTTCTATTGCATGGTCCGCGGCTATACTCCTATACTCTCGCTTGTCCGCCTTGTTGAAGGAGGAGTGGTTTATGGGAGAAAAATAAAACCCTATTATAGATATGAATCGTATAGATGTTCCACATGGCGCGGCTTGGGCGATATTTCCTAGTTTCTTGGAAGGTGTTATTTCAATTCCATGGCGAATAGAGTAGCAAATTCTCAAAGAAGTCTATCGTCCACTAAAAGGTCGGTGAGTAGTATAGCTACGGCTACTGATGTCGCCCCGTTGACGCAGCTTTATGATCTTCAGAAAAGGAGGAGACAGCGCGCGATGTAGGTATAGGTGGCAAGACGTAGAGCAAAATTGAGGCTGATTCAAAGAATGAACAAAATTTCGAACAAAATTTTGAATTTCGTGGAAGCGTTGGAGTGTAAAGCTCCGTGAAAAACAGCATTGGAGTATCACGACCGCCAGAAACGGTACAGTTTTCACTTTTTTCTTACTTCCCTTTTGATTTACTCGTAGTATCCCTGTTCTCATCAGTCAAGCGTTGATCAGATGGATAAGTAGCAGAAAAAATAGGAGTATAGCTGCTCTTAATTTTCTCATAATATAAAGTGATAGACGTCAATATATGGTTTATATCTATGCAGTGTTTCATCATATGTACATTTGGGAAGCATGAGCTCATCAATCGCGAACATTACTTGCATCTCGTACGGTCTTCAGAGACAACCAGCGTCGTATGGTGCCCGTTCACGGCGATTATTCATACTACCCAGCCAGTGAGTACAGCGGAGCGACGCCTCCCGGCTTTGTCGTTACTTCACGTTCTTCATATGCTCCTGTACGTGCACTTCTCTTATCCTCGTAAATTCACATATTTGATGTGTAGGTTCTAACACCGAGTCCAAGTTCCCGTTCGGAAAGGCGCAGTGTGTAAGTCGGGACAGTGCATGTGCTGAATCATAAGGAGCTTGCCATTCTCCTGAGCAAATCCGATTTTTTTTCGACTAGGACAGCGCCTCTCTGAAATTGAAGCAATCGATAGCCAATCACACAGTGGATAGTTTTTGAAGAGGAAGTAGATGATACTCATAACCGCTTCATAGATATTTGGTAAACCGTGCCAGTTCCTTGAGCAACTTGTAACAATCGCCGTACTATGCCGAAAAAAGCCCATTTGAGCCTTAGTGTGTTCCTTATCAATTTGGGCTGTCGTCCAAAAATCCAATTCCATTTCTACTACTGAGGATTCAAACCTGATTTTCAACAAGTTAATCCTCGCAGTGATAGAAATATAGCCTCTGAAAACTGCAGCCGCTTTTGGCTTGCATTTGTAGTTTTCGAGATGACTTTTGCATTTGGAGTGTCTGGAAGTCATTTTTCGGTGGCATCAATATGATATGAATGGGAGTCGACTGACAACAACTGAGAGGGGTTTGGTATCCCATAGTGAATTTGTCGAAATTGAAAAGGGTAGCTCTTGAAGTGATTGATTCAAACTCTGGTTTTTTATTATCTATCTCCTCGTCATCGTTGTCGATGATGGTGTAAAAGCAGTCACTACTTTTTCACCATCATTCAAACGCATATTCCAACACTACTAAGTAGTGTTGGAATATGAATTTGGATTCTCCAGCTGGGCTCAGGAGTTTCTTCACTACATCATGAAAACCCACATGTGGTTTGGGGTGAAGGAAGACAGGAACGAACAAGAATTTTCCCAAATTTCCTCAGAAATTCTGCAATTGTCGTCATCAAGTGCAGTTCAGCATGTGCATATTTCAACTCGTCTATCGTCTGTAGATACTCCCCAGTCCGTCCCGGCCCTGTGGTGCTTCCAAGAGTAGGAGTGCCTCTACCACCTCCTGAAATATCTGGAGGATACTATTATAGCCCGCCAGAGGTGCCAAAGATACTCCTATGTGCGCACAGCGAAGATTTTTGTATTCAGGAGTTCATTACACCTCCACCACCACCATTTTACGTGAAGTCAACTTCGTCTCCCTTCCCGAAGTCCGTATCGGATCCACTGACAAACTTTGACGTTTCTGACGACGTCTTCGATGAGCCCGAAATATCTCGAGTTCGATCGAGTATTAGTGACAAGTGTCTAGCCCACCGGAAGTGGTAAATCCCACTCATTGTGCGTCGCACACTATTACTATTTCTACCCGTAATCAACCCATTCAAGTATTGATATGTACCGAACCAGTCGGCAGCTTGTTATTGTTGTTCCTAGTAGTGCACGTATATGATTGTGTTCAAGATGATCAGCGCTTATATCTTTTATCCAAAGTAAACCCTATCCTCACTTGAAGTGTTACTATTTTCCTCGCCTGTGTATTGAGGCGCAGCTACTACTAATGATATTAGTGTCTCCACGAGTAGTTTTGTTGGGTTGCGAGTTCCTCTGAGAGTGACAGTCTGTAAATCACCGGGTTGCTCGTTACAACTGCCGAGAAGAATCCGAACACACAATGAGAATATGCCACGACTACGAACTGAAATATTGTTTCACTATGTAAGAGAAAATTGCGTTATTATTGAAAATTCGAAGCATATTAGTATAGTCGCGATGTCTGGGAAGGCTGCCGATGTCCGACCGGTTGCTTGTTTAGATGGCGTTAAACTGATGGGTCTCTCGTCGGGGTGTCTCTGCCCACATGCACAGAGTTAGGGATCCGCAAGGATATTGCTCTGAGCGATGGAGTAGCATCGATAAACTGTGAGTAATATACGGGGTGTGTAGAAGCACCCCTGAACGCTTTAATATTAAGTCGCTATCGTCTAGTGGTTAGGACGTCACGTTGTGGCCGTGACAACCCCGGTTCAAATCCGGGTAGTGACTTTTCTCTTACAAATGTGAATGAAGATATTCATATTTCTCTCACTGCCCCTCCTGATGACGAAGATCACACCTTCACCATGAACAATGCCATGGTATCTAGGGATGAGACTACCAAGTACGCTCATAGCTTCACCACACCTCCGTACAAGGGAGAGCTTGTCAGTTCATGGAACGAGTTCGGTTTCAGAGGGGAAGATACCTCATCAAATTCAACCGTCTTGTTATAGTCCCTCCCCACATGAGGAAACCAAGCTCGACGTCATCATTCCCCCCTCCTCAGCTCTCACCACGACGCAACAATACAAGATCGATCACGTTGGAAGCATTGAAGGGAGCGTTGGTTACCACTCATGATTAATTTACGTACCAAATCGCAGACTCCTCGTTCGCTTCTTCTCAGCTTCAGTGTCGGCAGTAACCAAGCCGAACCTGGACAATCATCTTCCTCTTCGCCACCGTTTATGCACTATCACCTCTGAGCTCTCTCAAGCTTCCTCGCAGTCTCCTCATCAAGATCCTCAGTTCCTTTAGCGTCCTTCCCAAACCTCTCAGATCTACATAGGAACACCGCCACCATCAAAAGTGACTGTACATGGAAATCCCACCGAGCCTTTCTTTTCGCTTGCTCGCTCTCTTCATTAACCATACCAAATCGAAGTGCTCGTTCTAGTTTCTTACCTTCAACCGTTTCCGTACCAAATCTGTTGTATCCAATCTCTCATGGCACGACGCATATCTTTCCGGAGTACTACCGTTTGGCCCGCTCCAGCCTCCGTTCTTCCTCAGTTTTCTCTGTCCTCTGCAATACAAGTGATCCTACTAGCAAGTCGCATTGGAATCGGCGCCTATTCCCTGTGTATGATAAGTGATAATACAGCGGAAGTTTACCATCTTACGCCCGTAGACAGGAGTAAGTGCACAATCGGACAATGCAGATATATTCTTCCGAGAGACCTGCCCGAGCGGCGTCGGAAGCGGCACTAGTAGAAATGACTGTCTTGGTTGTATTCTGAGACACAGAAGTACCCTCGGATTTCTTAGTCGTGGTGAAGATCTCGCTAGACGAACCTTAAACCCATCGAACCACAGGAAGCACATGCGAGCCCTTGAAGAAGTGTCTTTGCTCCATCCGCGTTAAGAGCACCTCCCTCCTCAGCATGAGCGGTATCATACTCGACCAAGCGGGATAAAAGTACATATTTACGACCAATAACCCTGACCGGATATCACGGCTTTGAGTGGGAATAATATAGAAGTGTGAGGGGTATTGACAAACCCCGAGAAGCTCCGCTAGGGAAATCTCACTGCCACTATGACTGTCAAAGACTGACTAGTGGCTCGGAGATGGTCAACTATAAAGTCATTACAGCGAAAGCAAAGATCGAGGCACCGTTCCTTTCTGTGTAAACGGTTATCTCCTGAACCGCGTATCTAGAGATAGATGTACTAGTACTGGCAGGCGATGGCAGGTATCTCCAATACTGTTAGAACACTACCAAAATCTATTTTGTGCGTCTAGGGCGAACAGGAGATCACCAGTAGAATAGAATGGTGATACAATCTCCTTGTAAACAATGCTTGTAGCACCATGGATAGTACCAGCATTGTTCTCAGAAGGATTCAATCAGAAAGAAGACTCGTCTCAGTAATTCCCATTGAGCCCCTCCCCTCCGCTACTGGACTCCAGTAACTGGAGTCCTTTACCCTTGCATATATCCTGCAGACCTTTCAGCGGAGTATTTATTTCGTCCATCAGCGCTACTTGACGGCTGGCTGGACAAAGCTGAGTAACTGCGAAGTTGGGGGGACAATAGTTCATCTTGAAAATCTTACGGCTCCTCAACGGTTTTCATTTTTTTCTCACTACGGTAAATTTGTGAGTTGACTAGACATGAAGGCGTTCGGATATGTTTATCGGTGTAGCATCTGACCAGTTATAGCCATTAAATTATGCTGCACAGCCGAGAGCCGACACGACTCGTGAGCGCAAGTGATGGGGAATCCGGCGCTCTTGAGCTACTTGTATCTTTTGAACAGTTCCGAGATGTGGCATATCGGCCCCTAAAAGAGCGGACTCAGTCTAAATAACAGCGATATTGACTTATTGATTCGTCGAAATTGGTGTTCGTTCGGTCGTGTGGAGCTTCCCATCTCATGAGCCTGCGCGATTGCAGGCGTATCTTGGAGTGGCATAGCCGCCCCACTCGGAGAAATTCATTGTACCGAAGCGTATCTTGAGGTGGCATAGCCGCCCCAACTGGAGGAAGTTCATTGTAGGGAAGCGTACCTTGAGGTGGCATAGCCGCCCCAACTGGAGAAACTGATCGTGTCAGGGCGTATCTTGCGGTGGCATAGCTGCCCCACCCGGAGAAATTTATTGTACCGAAGCGTATCTTGCGGTGGCATACCCGCCCCACCCGGAGAGTAAGACAATAGTGTCCTTGCACGTTATACATGATGATGCCACCATTATGGGTAGGATGGTCATCATAGGACACAGACTAGGAGGATATTCATGTGTGGTAGATAATGTTATTCGATACTCTCTGGCTATTATAGTATGACTACAGTCATACTGTGACTGTAGTCATACGGTAGCCAATTAACGAGTGATATGCTACATCTGATCGTATCACTCATTAGCATGCCCGTACCGAGCTTTCCGCTCAAGCCACCCTTAGTGAATACTTGCTACATGCGCACGAGTCAATTCTGAATCTCCGAGTCTGAAGATCAGTATGTGTGTGTTGGGCGGGCGGATAGTGGGTCGGTTCCGTGCTTACTAAGCACTGAGTCCCTCACTATAGACGCTAACCACTGCTTAGCGTCTATAGTGGGGGCTCTCGTGGGGTGTTCAAGTAGGATTAGAGAGGATAGTTCTTCGTGGAAAGAGTGATCATCGATTACTGTTGGACCTTTATTGCAGTACATTACTACGTATTTACGTTCCTTGTCAAATTAATCGTCTATGGGATGTGGCTTTTCCAAATATCGGTACCACACCGCCGCCGCATCAACAGAATCACCCCATCAAATCAGACAGGGTATGACCCCAACACGAACTTCAATTCAGGGAGCAGTTAAACTCTTTCAGATCGAGCGATCCACGTAATCACCGGGGAGGATGACCCACACCGGCCCTCGCCAAGTGCTGATCGAGCAGCCATCGAGGGCAGTCAAGCGGATAGCAGAAAGAGACGGCAATTTCTGTGAGTAGATGTAAAATTTGTCTACAGTGAAATTTGATGAATTAGGCTAGATACGAAATGACTGTCCAAGAGTTCATCCAAGCGTTGTCGACTTCTGAAAGTGCTGACAAAGAAAGACTAGCCCGATGGTTCAAACTTCTCAAAGATGGCGACTTCACCTATTCCTACAACGGAGATCCCAACGGCTTCCGGTCAGTCCCCTTAAATGCGCTTGAAATAGTGCGGGCGGCCCAGATCACTGCTCGCTCGCATTGGTGCCCCCCCTCGGTTTCGCGCATTGTGCTGGCGAGCTGTGATGGGTTGGCGAGAACAACTCAGACCAGGGACTTACGAGAAGCTATGCACTGGTCAGTCGGCTAAGATTCATCCTCTGTTAGTATTGAGTAGGTCTACGTGGCGATAAGGTGGCCTGGTCCTCCACTTTGGAGCCGACTTCGGGAAAGCTCCTGCATACACCCCCTTCGAAATCAGCCCGTCAGAAAGCAGCAACAGATGAGGGACTAGATTCACCATCGAACAATCGGCAGTCATCAGATCAACAGCCTAGCCCGAGTGTGGCCAGTAGTCACACCAGACTTGCTGTGTGAGGGTCTCCATTGAACCTACTTTGAATCCTGTAGGTGTGAACCTCAGATACCCCTCAATCGCTGCCGAACTCCATCGAGATCTCCGCCGGACCTTCCCTGGATCTGACTATTTCAATAAGGACAGCAACCTGGACGCGTAACCTTCAATTCCTCCGACGACTATCAATAACCTCCCCCCCTCCTCCAGGCTCGGTCGGGTTATCTACACCTTCGCAGCAAGTAACTCCTACGTTGGCTACTGTCAAGGAATGAACTTCGTCAGCGGTATGTTACTGCAAGTGACTCATTCAGAGGTCCAACTCTCAGCTGCACTCAGCCGAACATGTTCTGTATGCTTTCAGGATGATACCTTCTGGCTACTGTGCCTGCTCATGCACAGACACAATCTAGCTCCGCTCTTCACCGTTGATAAGGCACTATTATCCTTACTGAAATACACATTTACTCGACTTTTAGAAACGCAGCTCCCCCATCTGAACAAGTACGATTAACTCCCCTACCATCCACAGGTCTTCTCAGTCACTTCCGGAGTGTCAGTGAAGCCGAGGGCATCATTATTGATGTAACAGATATGTACGCTACGAAGTGGTTCATGACACTGTTCGCTTACAGTTTACCTCTCACCACTGTAAGCTCTCTTAACTGGTCAAGTTGCCTTCTACTGGACTGCTCCTCAGGTCTTGAGGCTCTGGGATTACTTATTCGCGTCTAGTCCGCCACTACCACCGCATCTCGGCTTCCCGAGGAGTTTGCTGCTACTGTCCCTCGCCATTATGTCGCTTTCCTCTAAGAGGTTCCTCAAGGAGAAGACTTTCTCTGGAATACATCGGGTATGGATCATAGTTATCAACACGCTCACACTGTTATTTAGGTTCTCAACGACATAGGAGGAACCTCGTCCAACTCAGCGGGTGGTCACGACATCTACGATGAATTTCGTGACGCTTTCTCCCCTCCGGCGACTACCAGGAAAAAGAAGCTCCTCCAAGTGCTTCTACTCTGGTCACGGTTTCCAACCTAATCTCTTCTGTATCAGGTACACAGGTACACTCTGGGATCTTCCGGCTGGGGCACTGCCTTGTGTGACATTTCTCCTCCTGTTCCTCGGGGAGGAGTTGCAACGAGATCTTCATTGGTTTATCGCGGCCTCGATCCCGAGATTATCGTTCGCCATGCATTACTGCTAGACGCTAAGGTTGGTAGTTCTATCGTTCATTCATTGTGGCAGAAGTTTATTCAGATCCCTCAGAGCACACTGGAAGACCTTCGGAAAGAATGGGCCGCAGAATGCCCGAATTTGGAGGCTATCATAAAGCAAGGAGACCAGGCCGCTGAAAATCAGTCAATTGCTGAGGTGAGGTTGCTAAAAGCGTTCGGAAAAAAATAGTTCATCAACAGGTTGTCAATCTGGACATCCTGGACAGTCTCTCATCGCCTAATGAAAGTGACGATGTTGCTGGAAAAGTAAGTATTTTACGGTATGAATCCTCCCCTCGATTGACTCCCAGAGCCCCACGGAGTCACGTGTATGGGAGCCCGTTCGTGATGGCCGAGGTTTTGTTAATTCCGAGCAGCAGTATACAGCCTTATTATCACTAGCAGATCTCCCTAAGGGAAGACCCCCAGATGATCACCCTAGTAACAACCGCCCTTAACCGTTGACTCAATGCACTCTTTCTTTGACAGGCCCGCTGGAGCCCCAAGATGCCCAACGACCGTCAGGTTCTCCGCCCTACCTCACCAAGCGCGCGGCTCGGCAGAAGCATGAACTACAGCTTCCTATATCATTGCTGGATGATCAAATTTTCCGGTCAAAGTCAGTTGAATCTCATGCTGATCGCGGGTGAGCTCTCCTGTAGTGACGTTCATTAGTCTTTCCCTTCAGTCGGGCGGCCGACCGAGACTTGCTTGCTGGCTTGGATCGGTCCCGCAGTGCTGGCCCTACCCTAAGGCATCGAAGACCCTACCATAGTAGACTCAAACGAAGCTTCAGTGGAACTGATTACTCGTATTGGCGACCTCATCCACCGGTCTCCTAGACGACAAAGTGAAATGTCTCAGCACAGTTTACATACTATTGCCTCGTTCATTATCCATGACCATTATTGGCTATATTATATCCACCGTATGCACTCATGAGATCTGTCTCGCGTTCTAATTCCGCCGTTGCCTTTCGCTTTGATAAACCTCCGACCAAACTTCGTTACACTTGGAAGACGTCAATTATCCGACTTCAATGGTGAACTGCATTTTACAGCTGCACCTAGTTGGGTTGAGCTTATCTCCGTCAGGAGCACAGGTTCAAACTTCTTAGCGTTCTTGCATGTTACAGCTGCACCTAGTTGGGTTGAGCTTATCTCCGTCAGGATCACAGGTTTAAGCCTCTCGCGTTCTTCCATAGCAATTCTGACTGCCCATAATGTCAGTGTAGAGCCAAAGGGTTCGAACGACTTGCTTGAATACCCAATAGAACTCCACCGCCTCCGACCGTAGCTCCAAATGCATGCGGCTGAGCACTATGTGGGTGAGAGCAGCAAAGCCCACTACCAGCAATATATGGGGAAGTCAACAAGCTAGCTCTGTGTTTTCGGTTGTCACGGTCTACGTCAAATGATTCTGTCATCGTTGCTTATTTCCATCCAACTAGCACAACTCAACAAGTGCGAAGGTATGTAGGGAATGTAACAGTTCAGTGGTAATAGCTGCCTCCTCCACCTTTGCCTCGTCCTTCCCAGCCTTTACCTCTGCCTTTGCCTTTACCGAACTAAAACGCGTAACAATAAATCTTATCGCATCATGAGAAGATAAACTTACATGACTATCACCCTTCCCTTTCCCTTTACCCCAACTACCACCACGATGGGAGTCTCTTTCTCGGGCTCCAGCCGGCAACTGCTGAGTCTTCGCCTTAGCAAACCGAACCGCAAGCGTGCAGTCAGGTCTGTCTGGCACACAGTAGCCGTTCATTGCCATGACGACCTAGAGAGACTCGTAATACTTTCGTCATTTCACCACAAGATCACTACCTGTTGACTGAGGAGGTTATCATCATAATTCACGAAGCCAGCACCTCTCGAGTGTCCTACTCTATTAGGCATAATAACAACACTCTCCAATTGCCCTGAACAGAACCATTCAACTATTGAGAATCCGCTTCGCTCCGCTGTTACCAAATTTGACAAATAAATCGTGGAGCTCTTGTTCACCCCATTCTGCTGGGAATCCGCACACGTACAATGATCGCTTAGGGTCATCAGCACCTAAAAACCCCTCCTATACGCAAGCAGTACCTCTAGACTCTCACCTGGCATGTCCTCCATATCTCGAGGATTCACATGTCTCTGCCCGGGTCCACCTGAGGATCAATCTTATCATGTTGCGAATGCATACAGCAACACCCGCGAATAACCCTTATCTCACCAGGTGCGCCCCGGCCTGGCCCTGCACCCTGCGCAGGATTCATCCCGAGGTTGCCTTGGGCAGGATACGTTCCAACCTACGGAGGAACGAATTTTTCCCGAGTCGCAGTGCCTTCCATTACAGTTATCTTATTCCGCTTAGCTCGATCCAACCGTAGGCAGATCTGCTTGTCCAGCATGTACTCTCGGAAAAGCTGCTCGTTGAGACCGTAGTTGAAGTAGGCACTCAACTGAAACATCATGAAGCGTTCATGGAGAGGGTACAGATGATAATCGTGACAGGACAAATGATACAACTAGGGATCCACCAAAGTCACATTCAGTAGTACTGAGCCAGTACATTACTAAAATACGGACAAGAGTTCTACGAAAAATTGACCTGGAAAGGCTGTAGTTCAGCAGTAGTACTACGAACGTTTCGAAACGAATTCACTAGTCTCCGAGCGCCTATATGAGAAGCAGTGGAAGGAACCCCCAACGCTTGCGCTCCCCTCGATGATGGCTGAGCCCTATCAGGATTGATTTCCTTTCAAGTCTCTGTCTAGTCTACTCAAGGTCAACTTCGCTGAGAGTCCAATAATAATAGGAACAAGAATACATAGTAGCGAAGGGGTGATAATAGTAACCCACCTCATTCGGATGTGCCCTGCGCCACAGCGGTTCCGTATCAGTGTCCATCGACCAAACCAGCTTGTCCAGCACCTCCTTGAACTCTTCCTTAGGGATGCTAGCAACTCCAACGGCCTCATTCGCTCCATGCTCATCTAAGAATTTTCAATGCGCTAAAGGTTATTCAATACGACCCTCACCCGAAAGTCCGAACGCTCGTGGTGGACCTCCAGTTGAAGCTTCCTCTGCAGGTATTGCCCTAAAATACACCGAGATATCTCCCGGCGCAGCAATGACCTCTCTCACCCTTTATCAGTAGTCTTCAGTGACGTCTTATAGTTATGAACGTCTTCCGCAGATACCTCAATACCCTCAGACGCATAGAAGAGAATCTTTATATGGGCAGCTTCTGGAAACTCTGCCGTGGAACCCTCTGAACGAATAGGGATCAGAAGTAACCGAAAGCGTCCATCATACCATCTCCTGGTTTCATCATGGGTTCAGCCCAGGCTTCATCAGCTTTACGTTTGGTTCCTCCGCCTCCAAGTATGGCGCCCCAACCACCACCACCTCCTGTAGACTCGCTACTGGCGTCCTGAATACGGAGCAACGACTCATTAGGCTTACCAGAAAGCTAAGGGCGGAGCTCAGTCCGACAGCAGGCCATTGCGACGTGCCCGAGAAGATGGCTAGCTGGAATCGGACTCGAGTGAACATATATACACTACAGATACAGACTTTTCCAAATTTCCAAATATAGCTGTATCATAGGCAAATCAATATCTTCCAACCCCTCATACACATTAATGGTTCAGTGTGCCTATCTGCAATACTTACAGTGTAAGCTATAGCAAGTTACTATAGGTTACCGACCCATGTTGCTATTAGCACCAGGTGTCAATAACGTTAGCCCGATACCATCGGCGCCTCAATCAAACACACAAAAATCCTGCATGCCGACGATCACCTTTTTGAAGGCCGATTGGGCTCTTGGTGATATCAATTTCTCAAGTTGGGGCAGGTATGCCACTCCGAGATATGCCTCGGTACAATCTGTTTCTTTGTTCGGGGCAGCTATGCCACTCCGAGATATGCCCCGGTACAATCTGTTTCTTTCGTCGGGGCAGCTATGCCACTCCGAGATATGCCTCGGTACAATCTGTTTCTTTGGTCGGGGCAGCTATGCCACTCCGAGATATGCCTCGGTACAATCTGTTTCTTTGGTCGGGGCAGCTATGCCGCTCCACGATATGCCCCGGTGCGATCACCTTCACAAACGTACGAGATAGGAATTGCCTCGGCATGGACAGAGTGACTAACATCCCACATCGAAAACTCACTGATATTACGTTAGTAGGGGTGATTCCGTTCGGGGCCGATATGCCATACCAGAGCCGGTAGGTTTTCAAGCTCGCGTGGATGCAAAACTGAGCTAATTTAGGTATATTTCGAGTTGGTATAGCCACCTCATCCGGTGTACATGATGATGCTCAAGTATATCTTGTAGTGGCATGACCGCCCCATGATGATCCTTAAGTATATCTTGGAATGGCATAGCCGCCCCATCCAGAATAAAGGATGAACCTTGAGTATATCTAGGAGTGGCATAGCCGCCCCACCCGTGACAACGATATATGATTACAAGCTGTACGAAAATCATCTACTTCTACTACTACTACTACTACTACTACTACTACTACTACTACTACTACTACTACTACTACTACTACTACTACTACCACCACGACCCTCCACCGATCCCTTTCGAGTCCACAACAGGATACAACAGACGGCTACTACTACTGCTACTACCTGTGCCGCGAGCATCTCTCCCCAGCCTTTAGAGCCAGCATCAGCAGTCTTATCCATCACAGTCGTCTCAACAGAAGGATCCCCCTCGGATTCTAGAGGCGATACATCACCGGCTGCTGGGCCCTGACCATCTTCTTCGGCACCATCCTCTTCCTCTTCGCGTAATGCTTTGAGGAAGTCAAGCTGTGACATTGAATGAAACAACTGGTGGGTAGACACCGTGAAATATCCCTTGGATTAACTCTCGATTGGAAAAAAATCCGACTGTTCTGCTAAAGTGTAACAAAGGTTTGCCATGCGACATAGTTATAACTAATGAATGACACACTGATATGCTACATACGACCACATCACCCCAACTCACCCCAGTTCGGCTCACCATATACGAATGGTTTTTACTCCGACATTGCTCTCATGGTTGGGCACAGTCGCCTAGCTGTGTTGCTGCCGCAAG